TTCCCCTCTCCCCCACACCATTCACTCTGGCTAGCATCTTACCAATATTATACTGCATTTATTGAGTTGTCTTTAATATTTTATCAAGGTTTTCTTCTTTTTCGCATTTTTCAGTTTGGCTGTCAGTGTGAAGATGAACATTCTCTTATTTGCTCCTGGCTTGTTGCTGCTTCTCTTCCAGTCCTTTGGAGTGTGGTGGACAATACCTAGATTAGCACTGTGTGCTTTAATACAAGTAAAAGATTTCACCCTGCTAAACATTTATTTAGTGAATACAGTGTAATATATATAACCTGTATCACAGCTGCCCACCCCAAAAGGAAAAATCAGAGAGGATGTCTGTGTGTTGCCATTAATAATCGTGTTCCATGCATAAATTAAATTAAATTAAATTATCCTCACACAACAGTGAATTAAGTGTCGCAACAGCTAAACATAACACATGGAAACAACAAAGAGACAACAAAGAAACTCTCTCTCTGCATGTGATCTTTGCATGACACAGTTACATGCAATGACCTTTTAATGTTCACAGATTAAGGAACAGACTCACTCACTCATTTGAAAACTGGTCTACTCTCAATTCAGGAGCCCAATCAATTTAATGCAAAACTTTTCGGAAAGTCAACCAAAATGCACTTTAAAAATAACAATGTTTTCCTTGTACCTCATTGAGGAAAAACGATATTGTTGTTGTTATCAACATGATCCGTACTCTATGTTTAACATTAAAAAGTGATGTTTATAAATGAACAAAAGAAAATAACAAAAATAACAAATTACAAACATTACATGTACACTTCATTAAACTGCAAAGGATCGATCAACCAATCAGGTCATTTTCAACACATTCCTGGAAAGTCACGAGCGTTGAACATGATTAATAACAGTGGCGCACAGATGCATCTCACCAATTTTTCCCTTTTGGGAGGGGAAGCTGTAACACAGGTTATAATATGTACAGTGGAATCCGATTTTCCAAGCTTCTGATAACTTGAACTAAATGTCATTTCCTTCCCCTCAGCCTTGACAACAATGTAATTTTGCCCCTAATTTCTTGTTCTACCTGATTTTTCAAACCAATTTTAATTTCCCTTTAATCTGTTTATGAATTAATTTGATGTTGTTTTCTCCAGCTGGTTCTTGGACTTCCTTTCCTGCTTGAGAATCCCATTAGCTACATCACAATGGCGTTCAACTTAGGACGGCAGTTCTTTTTCAAGTGGACAGTTAATTGGAGATTTTTGCCAGAATGGCTTTTCCTTAATCGCTATTTCCACGTTTGTCTTCTTGTATGCCATGTCACAGTTTTGATGTTGTTTTACCTGTACAAGTGGACAAGGTAGTTATTATCATTATTATTATTTTTGGGGGGGGTGAGGGGAAGGGGGGGTTCTAAAAACACTGCTATGCTGCTCTGATGGGTTTAATAAGAGGAACACTTGTAAACTTGATTATGCATGGGAATTTGATGAAGCATAGCCTGCAAAGGTAGACACATTTCAGGTTGTCGCTTGTTGCAGGCTAGATAAAGCACTGCTGTGGGGAATTTTGGAAACTAATTAAGCTGATTTTCAAGCATTAGCCCTGTGTTGGAGCAAAGTTTTTAATTCTGTCTCAATAAATAAATGAAAATTAAAAAAATGGCAATATTTAGACAGGAAGCCACATCAACCTTAGAGGTCCTCAATCTGGATGACCCAGAGAAAAACCCTTGGAGCAAGGCGAGAACCAACAACAAACTCAACCCACATATGGCACCTGGCCACCATCAAACCTGGGCCACATTGGTGTGAAGCAAGCATTCCTGTTTCCTTGATCCAATTTTGTGACTGACAGGATCTGATTTGCTMGTTGTCATAATATTAGTATGGCATTTACATGTAATAGCAACAAATGTAACAGTGTGAATATGCCAAGGAAAGGAAACTTTATAATGCCATTAACTTATTTGTTTCCACAGAAAATCAGAATCTCTACAGAGTTATTTTAGAAGGCCTTTTCAAAGAACAGCTTTAACTTCAAATCATATCCTTTGTATAGCAACATGGGTTTTGCAAAATTGATGCATTATTTTAATGAGTTGATTTCAAGATAGAATGAGTTTTGCAAAAATGGTTGGCAAGGTAAATCTTTCACAAAGCCTTATTACACACCGTTATCTGATATCTCTCTCCCCCTCCCTGCTCCTCTTGGCATGAGGGTTGTTCAAGAGAATTTCTAGACTGTAAGAAAAGGAAAATGAATATTTAAATTGACTCGTCGCAGAGTTTGCCAACAGTAATTAATTTTATTGTTCTATACATCTATATTTATGTGTAGATTTCTTTACTCCTGCATTTCGATACCTAGAGAGAAAAGAGTGTTGTTGGAGTGTAAGC